TTAATAATTATAAAAGTTTTACTATATATATTTTATTTTAAAATTATATTTAAAAATTTTATAAGTTTATTCCTGTGCATTATTGTATGGGTTTATAACTAGTTTTAAATAATTAAAAAAGTAGATCAGAGATATATTTATAGTAATTATGCAGGCAAATTTGTTTGCAAATCTCTACCAATTAAGGGATAGCTATAATCCAAACAATACATACAAGTCAAAACAAAAACAAGCAAAATGATATAGCTAAAAGAAAGAACCTGTGCTACTTAAAACAAATCCAAAAAACAATTAAGCTAAAAGTTTGGCTTAACAAAGTTAAAGCATATAGCAAGATATAAAGCAACAAAAAAGCTAACAAACTTGCAAAAGAAGAAGTATACAACATAGTGCTCCTGCTTCTAAATAACTCTAAAACAAGCAAGCTATAACTGAACTTAGATAGCAAAAGATAAGAGTAGATAATGCAACAAGAAGCTTTATTCTATGTTTTACTATGTTTGCACTATGGTATTTTTGGTGTTATTAATCACGGCTTTTATTACTAAAATTATATCAACATTTTGAGTACTATTTATTTTCCCAAAACAAAGCCGTTATGCCACCCAAAATAATACTGTTATTTTCTCAGATACTTACTTTATTGATGGGGATATAACTTTTATATATGAAAAGAGAGCATAATTAGGTTCTGTATTACATAAAATTCTCTTCGGTTAAATAGTATTACTAGTTTTGTACTATATAAAATTGTCTTGAACAAGGAAATACTATTATTAGGTTCTGTACTATATAAAATTGCTCTTGGTCTAGAAACAGTATTACTAGGCTTTGTACTATATAAAAATTGAGTTGGATCAGAAAATAGTATTACTAGGTTTTATACTATTTAAAATTGTCTTGAACCGGAAAATAATATTAACAAGTTTTACATTATAACTGACTTGAAAAACATTTGCACTATATAAAATTATCTTTGATCAGAAAATAATGTTAAGTTTCGTGTTATATAAAATTGTTTTGGACTAGAAAGTGATATATTATGTTATATACTGTACAATTATTTGTAGTAAAAAAAAAACTCAATTTATTAATTCTTAATAGCAAAGTAAGTCTTTATTTGACTTTATTGTATTACTAGTTTTATAGATAAAAGTCTACATTATTTTTAAAAAGTAAACTTAATTTCTACTTTACAATTATTGCAGTTTTCTATTAAAACCCGAGGCATATTATAAGCTAAATTAGAATTTATATAAGGTTGAGTTTCTTGATCCTCCTCAATGATCTGAATACTTTGAGAATCAGTTTTATTATTATTTAAAGTAGGTGATTTGAATGGGATACAAAATGGCTTAGAAGCATCAAATGGTTTAAATTTTCTTAGACAAATACTTCTTTGTCTAATTGGACTAGCTACTTGATTAGTTGGAATTGGTGCTAATAGAGATCGTGAAACAACTTGCTTGATATCTAAAATAAAAAACAATTTATATGTTTATATAAATAGTAAATAAATAAGTAAAATAAAATTTGTTTGAATTATGATCGTTATTATTTGTAGTTTGGCTTTGTTCTATAGATAGAATTATCTTTGAGACTGTATTATGCAAGATTTTACAAATAAAACTTTGGTATGATGCTACGCCACCAAGGGACCGATGCCTACTAAAAGCCATAATACGATCAGTAGTTACATTTAATTGTGTAAATATTTGAATTGAAGTGCATCTTAAAGAATGATTTGTAATTTTTTTTAGATTGGTATCGATTCCTGTAATATAGCATATTTTATGAATCATTTTTTCATATGAATATCATCCTAATGGTGCATCGTGGAACCAAATTTCCCTTATAAAATCTGAAAATAGAAATCAATATCAATATTAAGATTATTAATTGATAAAATGCAATTATTTTATATGTACATATTACCTTTATTAGATGCGATTTTTAAAAAAATTCTTTTGACTTAAAATTTTGTCTACAGCAATACATATAGTATAAAATATCAGCTATAGATATGAATTTACCATTTATATCAGGAGGTATTTCACAACTTCTACCAGCATTAGTTAAGTTTTTCAAGCCTCCAGTATGATTTTTCTTCTGGGGTATAATTACTTGAATTACTTTGTTATAAGCTAATTTTACATGGTTAAATTTTAAACGACGTGCATCACCACCATGCAAACCACACAAAAGGTATAACCAGAAGTAAACTCGATATGTGATTGCAATTGGTGTATCCTTTAATAATTCTTCATAATTTAAAATTTTAACAATGTCATCATCACTTAGAGCATCAGATTTTTTAGTTCGATGAAGATTATTATTTTGAGTAAGTTTTATCTTGCCATCTACAGTTGAATATAATCAAGCAAACACATTTTTATTATAAATATTTGGTCTTGGATTCAGACATGAATAGCTTTGAAAATGACGAGCAATTGCACAATAACAATTATATATAGAGGTAGGTGTATAGGGTTGACCATCTTTTTTTTTCAAAGCAACGAAAAAATTAATAAGAATCGACTCCAATTTAGATTGATCTTTAATTTGTGTTATATCACCTGGAAGATTTGTATTAGCAAAATATTTGTTTATTGCATTAATCCAAGTTTTTGTATTGTTTTTGTATTTACGACTTCTAAATAGTTAATAATATAGTTAATGTTATTTTGTGAAGGTGCTACAAACCTAGCCTTTAATAAGTATATAATAGTTAATACAAAATAAAAATAAAAAAAAATTAAAGTTAAATATACCTCATTTATACTTTCTTGGGAAGTTTCATCCATGCTCTCTTGAGAGGCTTTATCCATACTTTTTTGAAAAGGTAATTAAAAATTTTTTTTAGTAAAATTTGTTTAGTAAAAATAAATATTGGCAAACTAAACTAAGTTTATATACCTCATCTGTATTAATATTATCACTTTCTTTGTAAAAAGAACTTGCAGCGCTAGAATTCTCAAACTCATAATCAAAGCTTATATTGGATTCGACAGAACCAGGTTTGTTGTATTTAAACTTGAACATTTTATTAGCCGTAACAAAATGTATATCAGTATCCTACAAATTTGTCTAATTAGTTTATTATTATTATTATTATTGTTTATAATAAAATATTTTGAAAACCTTTTCGCCTTCCATTTCAAGAGAAAGATAGATTTCAGGAAAGAGATCAGAAAAATACACAAAATTTAGAAAAAAATTATATTTATAGTAATTATCTCTTATGTAATAGAATAGTCTATTTTATTAATTTTCTATATATAAGAATAACGAACGATCATGTGATAAAAGCCGTAATTAATAAAACAAAAAATACTATAGTGACAAACATATAAAATGAAGAATAACTTATTTATTCCTTGCTTTATGAAGAATAAATAGTACTTATTATAAAATTAACAGAATTCAGTATTGATATAGAATAGAAAGTCTAAAAAGTATAAACAGATAGATAGTACCAGAAAACAGTAACAAGACAATTACATAGAAAGAAGTATAAAAAAACATAAAGTTTAAAGCAGTATATATAAAAGTATAAAAAGACACAAAAATTAGATTTTTAAGATAAAGTGTTACTGCCAATAATACAAGTTCTATACTAGAGAAAAGCAAATATCTATACAAATAATAAATATAAGATATATTATCAAAAAACTAAGATACAAGAACATCTTGCTAAATATTCTAATATTAATAGTTGTGAGAAATTATAGAAAAAAAAGGAAGCAAAGATTATTGTTAAGAAAGCAGAAAAAGAAAAGCTTATAATATCAAAAATCCAGAAGATTACAGTAATAATATTTGGAGAAGACCTACAAGAAAGAATTATAACTAAAATAAAGCTAATAAAAGAGTTTATAACAAAAAAAAAAGCAAAAAAAGTTAGCTTCTTACTAAATAAAGCAAAAAATCCTTCAAGTTTTTCTAGACTTTATTAACAAAGTTAAAATGCAATTCTAAAAACATACATGAAACTTCTGATATAAAATAGTAGCAAGGTAGAAGAAGAAAATAAACATAACCAAGAGGAAATAAGAGAAAAGAAGGGGAAAAAAAAAAGAGAGAAATGACTTTAACAAAAAAAACACAAACTCACAGGCTAATGAAAAAAATAAAAAAGCCAAAAAAGTAAAAAACAGCTTAAAAGATACAAAACTTGAAATAGTTAAGGAAAAAAAAAAGCTAATTGAAAATAAGTTTTATAAACTTGCTAGTCAAGATCAAATCTAATTTTTAGGCATGCTTGATATAGTAGACAACAGCCAACTATTAACCAAGAGGTATCATTATCCTTTAAACCATTCAGCAGATACTCTAATTTCTTAATTAATAGCTTTAACAAATACACTACTATCTTTAAAATTATATAGCTTTTTTATTCTTTTAATATTTCAATCTACCTCCAAACCACCTCTAATAACATTCCAAATATCTATATTAATAAAGTAACTATATAGAAAAAAAAAGTAATATTTATAAAAAAATATAATCAATATAAAAAAAGTTGGTAAAAATAAAACTATAATTATTTGCTATAGAGGTTTTTACGTATTAAGATGTTTTAAGATGTTTTTAATTTTAGCTTAGCACTATTTTTAAACCTATTGTAACAGCTAGTAATTTATTAAAAAAATATTATTAACTATTCATGCATTTTTATTGGTTAATGATAAACATGTACAGTACTAGTGAAAAAATCGATCCAGTGGAACTTTTCGCTGAAGTCACTGGAACACTGGAAAATCTGAACGTTCAACGGGGCTCCAGTTTCCAATCCAACAGCACTGGTCTAGAAACCCCAGTTTTAAAGATAAAAATGAAACAATGACCCTAATTTTATATTTCCGTATCCGGATTTTGTCAAATATCTTTCTGCAAGTGAATTAAGCCGCTTTATTTGTGACATTACATTATCGCCTAATTAATCAATAAAAAGTTAGCATTAATTAGGAAAATTTATCCTTAATGTTTTAAAAATCATACCAATATTTAATGGCGTCTGCGACGTAATTTTGATTTTATCCACATCAAATAAATGTGCATAGTAAGTAAGTTGATTATATAACCTATACTCAGAAAACTAAAAAAAGAAAAAAGTACAACTTCAGTTTTATTAATGCGTAATGTTATATTCTCATTTGGCTCTTCGTTTAATCGCTTTATATATGTACAATCCGGATTAAACTGATAATCTTTAATTAACAATTATAAAATTAATACTTTACCTCGGCCACCATTTTCCCACGGCATCCTTGTGCACATCTTGTTCTTGCTATATTTCTTGTTCGATATCCGCATATAGGGTCTTCGCATATATTCCAGCCGTCATAAAATTTTTTTATTTGAAACCGAATACTGCAAGTAAGTTGCGCAAGTATTGATGAAGTCGGTAGTGCTCTCATACAATTAGGATTGCCACAATAAAATCCAGTTTCATCCAACAAGTGACCCTAAAAGCTTTATGAGTATCTATCTGGCTATCATTACAATAACGTGAAAACAAGTAATACTAACCGTGATAGAATTGAATCCTTCAAACGTGTATGATTCTCGACAATGAATACATTTTATCATCAATTTGTCAACATGTTTAAAGCGTTCCTCATCAGTAATCTGAGAGTTATATGTATGGTACGTGCTATTACTCACTGTTGGCACGAATTTTGATTTATCAAGTCCTTGATTGACGGAAGAACAAATTAACATAACCTTAAAATTCTGAGCTGATTTAATCACTTTATTTCGGTGAACTTCAAGCATACCTAAACATTCGGCAATCTTTACACTGCTCGTTCCCTCAATATGTTCACACAATCTAGCGACGGATGCGTGAATTTGTTGGTTCAAGTACCATTCAAAATCTAACAAAAATATGAAAACGAGATAAGGAAATGATAACTATTGCAAAATAAAGTGGCCGTAAACGTACCAGGTTGTAAATTAGAGTCTTCTTTCCGGATTTCATCTAGATGGAATGCTTTGTCGGCAAGATTTTTGCTAGCTATATTATTTTCATCTGTTCTAATGCATATCACGTAAGGAATGGTATCTCCTTGTCGAGCGCTCATTCCCCTGTTTTTCATCCGTAATGCAACTTGCACATGTGGTTGACTTTTAATATCGGCATATGCCTCCGGCGCTTTGGTGAGATTCTATAAAGCGCAATAAAATAATGAAAATTTTATTACCATGCTTTTTAACGTGTTTTTAATAATTATTATTATTACCTTATTTAGAATAAATTTATCGATAAAAAATTTCTCAGAACGAATATCATTTCCTAATTGTATCAGATATTCGTGGATGTTATTGACCACTGCAGTCCGATCAGATGATGATAAAATTTGATCCAAAATATATCTTATTTGAAACAGAATTAATTAGGTTGAAACGTTATCAATAAACAAATTACAAATATAATTAGTAAATTATAATATACCTAGAAGCGTCGCGAACCAGTTCACACCAATCTCTTCTGACCAGGTCGACACCTTTTGTCTCATAAGATCGTGTCAAAATTCCATTATTCTCTTCAACAATAACGGCAGCATATTTTTTCTTTTTCAGAAGTAGCATCTTTTCAAAAAACCCATCCATTTCGATTTCAAGCAGTTTATATTGTTGGTTAACCTTTTTTTTTAACATCCTTCCTATTTCAGATGCTTCATGTATATCTGTAGTGTTGGTGTGGATCATTATTGAATCTGTGTCTCCGTATATAACCTATGCATAGATAACGTCAAATCTCTATAAATCGAAAGTATTGAATCTTAACATTAATAGTCGATTTTATACCTCCATGCCTTCACCTTCCGCCAAGTTAACAGTATCTTGGAGGATTTCCCGGCCCTTAGAAGTGATTAACATGGCCAAAGCTTTCGCATAAAATCGGGATAGGGGATAGCCCAAACAACCATACATACTGTTTGCCGTAAGTTTAAGAGCTTTCTGACGAATATCATACTATTTCACAAATAAAGATAATAATTAATAGTTATGAAATTAGGAACTACGGTCTGAATTTAATTCGCAATGGTCCACCTGTGCGAGATCACTAGGTGATGCTTTTGGATCTTTCATCAAGCTTTTAACCAACTTCCTTTTATTTACTAGATTTGCTATTAGTTTAGGAAGGATCCCCTGAGGCAAATCAGGCTCAGGAAGGTCAGGAAGTAAATCATCCGTTTCCTACAAATTAATTGTTAGATGAATTTAGACGTTTCGTAAAATTTCGTATTTCATATATTTCAAATAGAATCACCTTGCCAGTTCGTCCAATCGTAGTGAAACAAATGTTATACTCTTGAATAATTGATGGATATAAACTATTAAAATCCAACATGACCACGTACTTGTCATAAAACCCTTTTTTGGGTTCTAAGACAAGCCCTCCTGCATATTTTGATTTTTTCCGTGATCCATTTACAATAGTATCAACTCCTTCATCTTTAAGTCAAATTACAAACATTAATGATTACGTAAAATGAATAATTAATTTACCACTTAAGTATTCATAATTTACCCTCTTCATCGCCTCCGGTAGATTTTTCTGCATTCTTTATGTTTGATTTGTTATAAATCTTGTCCGGACAGATGTATTTATTTTGATGAAATTCATGTAATAATAGATATTCATTGCGGGCAGCTCTACTAGCAGTGGTGAGAGATTTGGACCTTGATATAAATATATATATAAATTTCAAACTTAATAATGTGCAATAAATATTTGTACAAATCAAAATGAAGGAAAATATACCAAATATTTCCAGCCAAATTAGTAAGCTGTTTGGTTAGTGGTAGTATCTGCAGCTTGAACATCAATTCTGACGTGAGAACAGAATCGTAGTGACAATGAAGAACAAAATCAAACAGAGTATTAGCCCGTTCGTATTTTGTTACAACTTTCTCACAATCAAAATCCTTTCGCTTGACACCTAATTGTGATAGTGCCAATTCAGTTAAAGAGTAATTCTTTGATTTAATGAGATCCTAGATAGTAAAATAGTGTAAGTCAAAAAAAAAAAAAAAAAAAGTAAAAAAGCAAAAATCTATAATGATCGTATTAAAATTGTAAGGTTAATAATTTTTTTTACCTTTGCACTGAAAAATGTATCGCATATTAATCGACCGCTTACAAAATCCCTATCTTTAAATGCTAAGTCACCTTTACTACTTGTGCGAATACTAAAGTTTGGCCATCTTAAATATTATAGATTTGGTGAGATTATACTTATTTCAAATAAAAAAAAAAATCGAATATAAGAAATAATACATTTGTCTATGGAGCCTTCCAATCCAGGACCAGTCTCTAACTTTCAATGCTTCCATTCGTTGCAATAAGATGGGCAATTCAAATCCAATGATATTATGTCCAACTAGAACATCCGGATCATTTCGCTTAATAATGGCTGTTGATTCAAACGATTATTGTATAATATGTATCGTGATTACTAAAGTAAAATCTTCGTACGTTAAGGTTATACTGACCTAAAAAGCGGTTTAATAAAGAGTATTCATTCCTTTCCAAAGTCAGATTTAATTTATTTTTGTTTCCTTGCACCATATCTTCAAATTGTGCAGGCCACCACGGTTTATCGTTTAATTGTCTAATCGATGTTTGCTGAACTGACGGGAGCTCCTTTACGCAAATTGGTCTATCCAGAAAAACTGTTTTGAAAATAAACATTTAATAATATTATTAAAAAAATTTATGATAAATTAAAATTAATTAAATACCTTTAGGATAAACTCTCACACTAAAGGCAACTATTTCATTTGCTCGCTTTTGATGATTCATTATAGTACGTAAGCTCAATGACATTATTGTCAAAGGTGGAGATTTCAATGGTATTGTCTCCTTTAAGGGGTTTACATTTTTCGGATCTTTAACGAATAATTCACGCTTACACCAGGAAACCTAAGTAACGCGAATCTAGGTAAATTTCACGACAGTGACTATTAAAAAGAATCGTAAAATAACATACCTTAGCAGTTTGTTCTTGGGCACCTTCAATCTCAAGCCAACAGGGACCCTTGATTTTCCGCTTAATCAAGAACAATTCTGCTGCAGAAGATTGCGTTCCAAATATACGACTAAAGGTTTTTCCACTTAAATCGCTTGGATATGAAGGGTCTAATAAATTATGATATATGAGAATCATATGAAAGTCACAAAATGGTACTTTGAACTTTATCGAAAATATATGCTTACTTGAGAACGAATACACCACTTTTAAATAATCTGACTGAACAGGTACGTCCGACAGCTCAAATGCATATTTTCGCGAAACGGTCTTAGCAGCGATTTTAGGAATTTTGTATTTATGCCTCAAAGATTCAATTTCTTCGAAAACATCATCCATAGTGACTTTGATGTTAGTTTCGTTTCCATTTTCTAAAGGAGTCATGAGTACTAGTTTAGTGAAAAAAGTTATACATAACAATTCTAACGATATACGAAATAAACAAAATCTAACCATCAAGTTTATACTGTCTTGGCAAAACAAAAACGTTCCGATCAATATTCTTAACGATTAGGCAGCAACTCACATACAAATTGGCATCTTTATCAAAGATCTAATAAAAATATAAAGAGAGTCAGAAACCCGATTATACTTTATGATAACGCGTTAATAAACAACTAACTTTTCCAAAAAGATGCACATTCCCCTGTTTTTCATACGCATCGATCCAGAACATTCTCATCGTTTGATCGAAATCTGAATTGTCCTGCTTTTCTATCATTATTACGTCTTGATCGGCATCTAATGTTTCCAAACTATCTTGCCCTTCGGCATCTGAATTTTCAACCACATCCGTTTGATCTAATTGTTTACACGAATTCAAACTATCTAGTCCTTCGGTATTTTTAACCACCATCATTTCATCAATTTGATCGGCAGCTAATGACAAATCTGGATCATACTGTTCGTCGCTATCTTGATCGGCAGCTAATGACAAATCTGGATCATACTGTTCGTCGCTATCGTTATCCAGATCTTTTAAAAGGCCAGATAAAAACGCAGTTTCTTCTTCGGTTGACTTAATCTTCATGTAGTTAAATAAATAAATAATTAATACAACTATATATATGTCTTAAGTAAAACTATACTCTATAATCACGTGAGAAAGTCAGCTCTTCAACATTAAGACAACACAAAACTGACTAATAACTATTTTTCGTGACATGTTCTACAGAGCTATCAGTTAGATTTTTAAATTTTAATTATGGAAGAATTGAAAGGCTCAGATTTTTAAAACTTAATCGCTCTGTAAAGTTATCAGCCAGTTTTTAAACGTATTACGCGTGTCACGTGATCACGGAATACCCATTCAAAAAAAAAACAAAAAAATTCTCACTATTTTTGGTTTTGAGTTTTGCGTGGCGGCAGCCCGCTGAAAAAAACTATTAAGCCTTGCATTCGGTCGAACCTCTGCCACATCCTCCAACTCTTTGAATTTTTTCCTTTTTCCTGCAATTTTGTATTAAATTAATTAGATGAGCAATTAAACAAATTTATTCCGAATTTTGAACAGGAAGAGGAATAGTAACCATCCATTGAACGGTCATCGTAATCAGATTCATCTGAATATGCTTTTCCCAAATCATCTTCAGCAAATGAATTTGCTTTGCCATCATCATCTTCGATGAAATTGTCTTGTTCTCTTTCTTTAAGATGCTCTTGATATTCATCCTCATCAACTTCGATGTAAATTGGTTCTGGCTCTTGAATCTATATAGAGTCCCAATATAAACCAATTCTAACACGCATAACTGGTACAAAACTACAGTTAAATCTAATAAATACCTCATATTCCTGTGCACGAGAGCCTCCCGTTTCTCGTAATCGGCGAATTTTTTCAAAAACGCCACTTAAATCCCTGCCAGTTGCACGTCGTTTACGCTGCGACACGGGCATAACACGATTTCTCAAAAGTATGTAATAAAAAATTTTAATAGAAAATCTTATAACGTCAGGTATAAAACACGTCGCGTTGGGTGTCCAATGTACTATGTAAATCAAATCTTTATATAGTCCAGTATTGTCACTTGGCCACTTGGCCGGCCATTGGCCACAGCCAATGGCCGCAGCCAATGGCTAAGAAAATTTATTTGGCGAAATGGCCAAAAATCTATATAGTAAAAACTAGTACCGGTAATATGATTGACTAATATTATATAAATTATAAATTTTTGGCCGAAGTTTGGCTATTGGCCATCGGCTAGTTGGCCGGTCCAAAAAATCGTTTAGTTAATATATTAATAAGAAATTAATATCCATAGTTGAAATTGATTTTGAGATAACCAAAAAGCAAAAATGTCTGCATGATTTACTGTATTTAAAGTTGGAGTATATAAGAGGTTATAAATATTATAAGAGTTAAATATAAGGTAGTGTATTAAGATAGTCATAGGCTAGTTGGTTAGCTTTATTATTGAGTTTATTGTCCTGATGTATAAAATAATATTTAGATTGTAAGATTTTATAAAATTAAGAAGTGTGTTTCAGATTAATCAATATGAAGTATTTAAAAAATTAGAGTTGGTTATATGCAAAGTTAGATTGTAGAATTTAGAGATTACTAATTGAAAATTAGTAAAATTTAAATATTAAAATTTCTAGAAGCATTATATATAGCAAACAGAGTTGCAAGTAGTTTAGCTTTAAAAGAACATAGCCAAAGTAAAATTGTACTTGAAATATATATAAAATAGTATTTTTTTTTTTTAATATTTGGATATAACATCTGCTCAAACTTTTATTAATACTTAATTGATAATCTGTCACTCAACAAAAGAATTTTCTATATTAGGATATGATACAGATCACATATAGGCAAGCCCAAATTGAAATTTTTATAGTATAAGTAAAATCTTAAATTTTTTTAACAAATATAGAAATAAAGTAATACAAGTAATAGAATGATACTAAAAGCTTCAAATTATAAAATTATTTAGTATCGATTCTTTTTTTTGGTTGACTTTACTTTGGACAAATGCGGCATTCACTATGCTAAAGTTTAATATATAATTCTATAAACTGAATCAATATATTTTAATAATACCTTGATTTTAACTATTTTATAACTAGTAAAAAAAAAAAACTCTTTCCCGTTCATCACTCGTACAAAAATTTGCCTAAACCTGCATAACTAAAAAATTTATTTCTACAGT